AGTGCCATTTATTTTTTTCATCTCAGGGACTGAATCTGCTTTTACTTAATGATATACCCCCATCCCAGCTGTTTATGACTTAGCAGGGTATATCTTCCATATGGAAAAGCGGGAAGAAGTTGGTGGAGAAAGCTGTGAAGGCATTGCACACTGATGGATGCTTGCGTAGGTCTGTGAAGAAGGACCGTAATGGACACGTCCTAAACACGTGGTGCAAATAGCATCTCCTTGTGGTGCCAGATCATTTAGTAAAGTGAATCTGGTGTCGTCTTTAATCCCCAAACAATGTAAAGAAGACACTAGATGGAGCTGTAAACTAAGAAATGTAGTGGTGAAGCTGGTGAGGTGGCACTAGAAGTTAAGTCCTCTGCCCCCCTAGTTTCTCCGGCCTCCTTGCCTTTTCCTGGTCAGCACACCTCTCCTGCTGTATGGAAGACATTTACTCATGATAATTTATAAGCCCCATGCAAATGTGTTTCCCTGAGTTTATATCTATTTTAGAACTAAACCAGCCTCAGTTAGCTAATGACAGTGAAACTAAGATGAGATGTGAATTTGAGATCAGACAAGCTACTCAAATATTTGGGGCAAAGTTAATACCCAGTTTTGGATTGGGTTATTTAAAGACGGAAAAAAACTATTAATAACTTGATTGACAGCCATGCTGTTTGACCCATATTTGTGTAGAGAATACATTCTTATAAATCTGTGCGAAGTGAAATTTTATATATAAAGTTATTTTTTTTCTTCCCCTTTTACCATCTCTCTCAGTGGGACGGCGCCATGGAAAGTATTTTGGCATCAAGCTAACGTTCAACAGACAGTCCGAGCATTCACTTCCAGAAGCATTTGTTTACTCAATTCTCCCACTTTTGTTACGCAGTAGAAGGCCTTTCACAAATGGGTGATTATTGATCCACTTGGATTCATGGAACTAGGCAAGAATTTCGCAGCTGACCACACGCGCAGAGGTGGCACATGGAGTACTTACTGAGGTGGACCAGCTGACAGACGCCATAGGGATGCTTGTAAGAAGTCAGTGTGATTTCGGTCCTATCTTAATATAGCAAATAAAAAAATGCTGGTGTAGAATATGAAAAGGTGTCTTCTTTTGAATCAGACCTTTAAAACCCCTGTTGGGGACATTTAACTGTTGTTCTTCATTAGAATTTAGTGAAGTTTATAAGTCAGAGACCCGGAAGTGATTTTATTATCTAAACAGATAAAATGTTAATGGACCCAACAGGAAATTTTACAGTTGTTTTTAGAGTAGGGCATTTAAAATTTTCTAAAAAGTTTTGTTTTTGTTCTAATGGCTCTGGAAAGTATGAGGTTTGAAACATCCACGTAGAATGGTTGGATTCAGTTTATGAAGATTATAACCTACTGAGTTACCAGATTGACCAGGCTTTGTTGAAAGGATTCATGATTGAACGTGTTAAAGTAGAAAGTAGTTGTACAAATAATCCACTTCAGAGGAGAGTAAAAGCATTTTCAGGACACGTGTTGCATTTATATTTTGGCATCTGCTACCTTACATTTACTTTGAATAATGACGAAATTACTTTGCATTTGACCTAATTACAGAGATGTGACCCAGGAATGATCTGGTTGACTGAGAGAAGGCTTAGCAGGAAGACAGGAGACCCCGGGGGCTGCCTGGCTGGGGAGCACAGCCAAAGGCTGTTGGACATGCACAGAGAGAAATAACCGCACATGAAAATTCCCCAGAGGGAATGAAAACATGTTATTTTCCTAGAAGAGAACGGTCCCAATGAGGACCGTACCACGGTTTCATTTCCAAAGCAGGATAAAAGCCAGGCCTTGAATTGGCAGAATGGTCCCACAGCACACTTGCATGTGTGTGCAAGTGTGTGCACACGTGTGGACATGTTGGCACTTGTGTCCATGTGTGCACGTGTGGCGTTGAGACCAACCTACATCACCCAAGACCATCTATGCTTACAGTGAACTTTATGTTTTAGCCAGTATTGATTTTTAGATGGCCCATTGAGATAGAAATATTGAGCTGTTAATATGGTAAGAGCGGCACTCGTACTTAATTGTTTTCCAGAGGTTAAATTAAGTAACTGTTCCCTGTCAGCTAAAAGTGTAGGAGATGAGAGGGCATGATACCTATGTTCTAGAGCTTTCCTGAAGCCCCAGATTTGTGGTCTCTGGTATAACTACTTTTCCTGAAAATGAATGCAGTGGTCTCAATAAATACAGAGCTGAAGTCTCGTCTTTGGCAGGCAGCGTTCTCTGGACAGCCATTTTCGCTCCAGCAGTTGACAGTGAGGCTCTCCTCTCCCAAAGGCCAGAGGCCTTCTCGGCCTGGGGAGCTCAGGCAGGTGCATGCCTGCGCCTCCAGGGGTCCTGATTTTCTGCCAACCAACTCTTCCCCACCCCGCCTGCCCCCAACTATGAGCAAGAGTTCGCCTGCTGACTCTGAGTGTTCTCCCTTGTGATTAATTATTGATTATGCAGTAATTATTAATTATTGATTCAGCACTTTGTCCTTTTAATACCTGGCCAGGATTAATATTTGACCATTCACAACTCGAACTATGGCAACATCTCTCTTCTTCTCTCCTTCTGCCCAGATCCGGGGCACGCAGGGCCCTGGCTGCTGTGTCTCAGCCGCTGATTTCAACCAGTCCGCAGCTTCTGATCCATCTGACCCCTGTCTTTCTGAATCCCCCTTCCTCAAAAAGACAGGGTGCTGTGCTGGCCAGGCCTTGAGGTCTCATTACTGCCATTTCAGCCTCCCTTCTGTCCTCACCCCTCTCTTCTGTCTGTCTTCACCAGGATCTTGAGTGTGATCCGGCCAAACACTGTCCCCACACACCCCAGAGGCCCAAGGGCTAGCCCCGGGGTGACCCTGCCCCTCTACACCCTCTGCGCTACCGTGCCTGCCCAGGACCTTCCTCCCTCCTTGTTGTGGTTTGTTTCCCTGTGTCTTGTCTTGTTATACCCTTTGGCCTTGAGAGATGAGGGGAGCCCTTTAAAACAAAGCCCATCCCGGCCGGAGGGGCACCGTCCGGAGCTTCTGTGAGGAGCACATACCTGGTAGGGGGAGAATGAGGGGCCGAATAGCTTGTTTTCAGTACCGGTTGTGTGACCTTAGGCAGGTGATTTAATTCCTCCAGGCCTATTTCCTCAGCTGTGAAGCCAGGTTAATAACGATCACTTTTTATTATTTTGTAAGAAATAGGTGAAATGGGGCTAATAAATAACACCTTTACTGCGTGCCAACCTCTGTTATAAAGCAGATAGTAACTAACGTAGTCCTTACAACCCGGATGTGGGGTGGACACTCTTGCTAAGCTCATGTTAGAGTTAAGACCCTAAAGCATAGGAAGCCTACATCCCGGGCCCTGGGCCACAGCCAGTAGGAGCAGGGCAGGGTAAGCAAGTTTGTAAGTGCTGGTCTCTGCTTTCCTTCCTGCCAACCAAGCACCGTAGCCTTTGGTAGGAAGAGGGTCTTGCTGTCTGTGACCCTGAGCCCCACTGTGTGTTAAGTGGGTGTAACTTGCAGCTATTCTGGGAGCAGAAGAGAGGATGAATTATGTGAGCTTCGATTATTATTTGCAATGTTGTCAAAAAGCAAAAAATCTAAAAATGCAGAAAAAAGGAGTTAATATTATTAGAATGCTTTGGTTTATACATACAAAACAAACTCAAATTAGCTTTTGTTGTTACAAAATTATGGTGTGGATGCGAGAATGTTTCACCAATCTTATCTGAGCAGAAATGCACCTTAGAAAGCACCGGGAGCTGAGCTACAAGGCGGCTCACCCCAACTCCTGGCTGCCTTTCCCCATCCCACCCCAACCCTCCCCATCTCTGTGTGCTGGGTTGCAGCCCTAGGCCTCTGCATTAGGCAGGGTTCTCTGCAGAAACAGACCCATTAAATAGGCTGTGTACAAAGAGAGACATACGTATTTTAGGAATTGGCTCATGACATGGTGGAGGCTAGCAAGTCCAAAATCTGTAGGGTAGGCTGGCAGGCCGGACACCCAGGGAAGGGTTGCCGTTCAGGTCTGGAGGCAGAATTCCATCTTCTCCCCGGGAAGCCGGCCTTTCTTCTATTCAGGTCTTCAGGTGATGGGCTGAGGCCCACTCACATGAGGGAGAACAGTCTGCTTTACCCAAAGTCTATGGTTTAAATGTTAATTGCATCTTGAAAAATATCTTCACAGCATCTAGTCTGGTGTTTAGCTAAAACCTGGGCACCATGGTCCAGCCAAGTTGCCACAAAAAACCAGCCATTGCAGTCTATATGCTCATTCCTCCCTTTCTGAAGTGCGTTTTCTGCCGCCGTTTCTCACCTACTCTGTGTGCCATCGTGGCCTCTCTCTGCGTCTGCCTCATGCCTTCCTCTGTGCAGATGGGCTTCCTCTGCACCCTGGCCAGTCAAGAGGACAGGTGGGCACCTGAAGCCCGCAGGCGTGGGTTCGAGCAGCAGCTACACATGAACCTCTGCCACGGCGTCAGCCCCTGCTTAACCTTACTGGGCTGGAACCAGTGTCAGTGTTGGGTGCTGCTCTGCTTCTGTCTCTTGTTTCACTTCTGGAATCCCAGGGACAGGAGAGTCCTGATCCTGGGAGACACCTGTGATTCCGTCAGCTGAGTCAGGGCCAGGGGGTTCCTGCTATGCAGATGTCGGGGTGTTCAGCCTAGCAGAGGGCGTGGGGAGGAGGGAAGCGGGTGCAGAAGGGAGCTGAGCAGTCGCTGCGAATGGCTTCTCCCTGGAGACAGGTGGAAATGCAGCCCAGCTGTAATGATTGAATTTGCCTCTGGAATATCCATTATGATGAAGGCAGGTAATATGCATGCTTCCTCACAGTCACCCTTCTCTCAGTGTTGCTCCTCTACCTGTTACATAACATTGGAAAAATAGGATTGAGTTTTGGAACCTGATCACCAAGATGTACATTTGGGTTTGCTCGCTCTCCACTGCTCACGTTTCTTGTTTGCGCTTGTCTTTTTCTGTGCAGAGGATGATGTGGACCTGGAAGCCCTGGTGAACGATATGAACGCATCCCTGGAGAGCATGCAGTCGGACACAGTGCCCCTCCTGCAGAATGGCCAGCATGCCCGCAGCCAGCCTCGGGCCTCGGGCACTCGCTCTGTCCAGCCTCAGGCGTCCCCGAGGCAGAGGGTGCAGCGCTCCCAGCCCGTACACATCCTCGCTGTCAGGTAGGTCCTGGCCTCGTGGGCAGAGTCTTTTCCAAGAGTGAGAGCTGTCAGCAGGGACACTGCCCTCTGTGGGTTACGTGGTGGGGGGATTAGTGCTGGCCATGCCCAAGAGGCAGATACGACCCTTTGATGGGATAACAGGTACACTGAGTGTGTGTGGTGTGCCGCGTTTGCGTTCAACTTCATAGCTGGTTCAATTTCAGTACCTTGTATTGAGCGCTTGCTGTGTGCCAGGCACCGTGCTAGATAGAGGGATATGCGGGAAAACCAGCAGAAGAAAAATGTCTGGAAAGATTGGAAGAACAGCCATAGAGCTGATCGTACACCCCAGTTCTCATTGCCCAGAGTGGGGTCGGTAGACTGGCCACAACAGCGCCCCCTGTTGTGTAACCCCAGACTTCACTCAGTCGCATTTTGCCACATTCCTCTGCCAATTCAGGGGTAGGCACATCTCTGTGGAAGCAGGGAGGCTGGAAGGAGGGACATGCTGGGGATGCTGAGAGAGGTTCCTGGGAGGCGGGATCTCTGAACGGGGTGTCAGAGGGCAGTAGGAGCTCAGATGGCTGGAGGCAGAAATTTTGTGAGCAGAAGAGATGATGCAGATGAGGGCCGGTTCCAAAGCACTTCATGTGCCCTTTTCAGGAGCCACGCGGGACAGGCGCGTGAGGGGGCTGGGTTTAGGTTTTGACACCAACATTCTGGCTGCCAGGGGCCAGGGGCGCAGTGGTAGAGGGCAGCAGGGCTGGCAGAGCATGGCCAGTTGGGAAGCTGTCTCAGGAGCCTCTGGATGGAAGATGATGGTGTGCTGCCCAAGGGTGAAGAAGGAGGGGGATTTGCATGCATTGCTGAGGAGGAGCGGCTGGGTTTTGCCAGCACTTGAATTTTGCCAGGGCAGTGAGGAGACAGAGAGTGTGGTGGGTGATTTGGATTTTGCCTTGAGTGCCTGGGAATAGGGCGTCTAGAGAATGGTCATGTTGAAGGGGAAGGTGCCAAGAACACCCTAGACTAATCTGAGTGAAGATCTTCGTAGGATGGAGCTGAGAGCCAGGGCCAGCCCTCAAGGATCGGCCAGTCTGCCCTACTGCTGTCCATGGTGGGGATGGTGTGGGGCTTCGTGGGACCCTGCCTGCCCCTCTGGGCCTTTGTGACCACCCTTGCCCTCACTGGCCTCCATGGGGTTCTGGTGTGTCCTCTCTCTGCACCCCATCTTCTGGGTAGCTACGTTCATTTCCTGGGATCTTCCTTGCTTCTGGAAACTTTTAATAGTTTTCTTTGTGGTCTGACATCTTGGGTCGTCTGCAGCCCAGATAATCAGCTTGCTCCAGGTGGCCACTGTTTCTTACGGAGGCGAGAGGGTGCAGCTGCACTGGCGCCCGTGGTCAGCTGCCTCTCCAGCTTCCCGCCCCAGCTCCACCTCTCCTGCCCCCGACTTGCCACTTTTTGTCACATCCACTGATGCTGAATGATGGCTGTCCCAGGGTCTGTCCGACTTCACCCTTCGAAGTGTGGACCCTTGCTCTTAGCTCCTGAGGAGTTCAGTCGGGTGGGTGACCTCTTTTTCTGCTGGGAGCACCTCTGGGTCACTTATTCGCAGTAGCCTGGGGGAGCCCCTGGGAAGATGGGGTTGCAGTCGCATGGCAAAGGTGCCCAAGGCCTGCTTCCCTGCTGGAGTGGTTGCCCAGGACCCCTGAATCTCGAGTTCTGGCTGAACTTGCCCAAATGTGCCTCGGGGCTGCCTGCACTGCCTGGGATGGACTGGGGCAGGCTTGCTCTGAGGGGACAGCCGAGCCCTCTCCCTACAGGGTCACAGGCACTGTTCCTTGGGGCCAGTCTCTTCCCACTGATGTCCTCTCTGATAGTTTTGTTTCTTACCTTCAGGTGAATTTACAGAATGTGGAAATGGACCTGGAGTCACCTGAGGTTTATTTTGTGAAGCGAGGCATTTGCTGAGAGCTCACTGTGCAGATGCTCTTGAGCTCCTTGCTTGTTATTGGTGCTCTCTGAGGGAGGCAGGGTGGGTTATCCCCGCTTTCTAGGTGAGGAAACTGAGGCACAGCGGGGCCCACCCCAGCAGGTGGGAAGTGGCCGTGGAGCTGGCTGCTGGGTACGGGGGGCCGTGGAGCATGGTTTGTGCTGTGGAGGAACTTCTCAGGGGCTGCCATGCACCCCAGAGGGAGCTTGGGAAGGTCAAGAGGGCCTCACATGCAGGAAAGCTGACGGGTGAGCCGATTCTGGATGAGAAGGAGCTCAGGCTTTTGAGATCGCAAGGGCCGTGCATGTGTGCTAGACAAATGCAGGTGGGCCAGGGAAGGGCAGAGAAGAGAGAGCCGCACCTTGCCCCCAGCTCTGCAGTTTCCACCACCATCCCTGACGGCCCTAAATCTCAGCACCCCTCTCCATAGTCACTGTCCCTTCTATTGTGGGCCTCTTTCACGGGGATTTTTTTGTCCTCGTGTGATGTCCCCTAGTCTTGCCTTAGGTGATGTCTCTGAGCCGCTTTGAAGTCAACACAGGACTTTTTAAAATGCTCAAAACAACCCAATTAAGAGACAAGCTTTTGTGGACGCTAAAACATCACACTGTCTCTTTGAGGTGAAGTCGCTGGCTAGACACCGCTGGGCGGGAATGTCCTGAAAGTGGCACGGCCACCCCTTTTACTCGTCTCCTCCCGTATGACAATGGCCAGACCTTTCAGCCGGACGCCTTGCCAGGCTGAAGCTGTCCTGGGAAGAGTGCGGTTTGTTCGCAGGAAATGTAAACTTTCTGGTACGTCGTCACACCGTGACAGGAGCGGCTCCCCCACATTTCACAGCACTGAGTCCCTCCGTGTCACGGGAGCACTCATAGTTTTACATCTGAGCATTATTTGCTTGTCTACGTGGGATGGTTAGCTGGATCTTCCTTTAGAAGTAGGGAAAGTTGGTAAAAGAGAAAACGGTCACAGAGTATGTTTCCGTAGTGGCAAATCTCCCAGGAAAGCTAATGGATTGTTGATTTTGTGAAATCGTCAAAATGGTCAAAAAATTATTCGAAGACGCAGACTGTGATGGGGGTTTCTCAGGTATGTTTAAACGTGGGGAGGGATTGGAAACGCTGAGTGAGGATGACGTGAGGTTTGCTTTCCTCTCCTTGAAGGTACAGGCTATGGACAGGGCAGTGTGGCCTCAGGAAGGGTGGAGGAGGCTGTGTGTCTAGGAGAGCCCTGGAGGTGTGGGCCAGAAGTTACTCTGCGTGGTGGGGGTGGGGGGCGTGGGACACTTGGCTTTTGCTGTGACTTTTAACTTGATTTCTCTGCTGTTCACAATTCCTTCTGATTCATCATACTGTGTGTGTTGCATGGTTGTATGACAAGTGAGTTGTGCATTTTTCGAAGGAGTGAAGAGACGTCCCTGGAGAAGCGCCGGGAAAGTAGAGGTGGTCTGGATTCAGCATGTATTTCTAAGATGTGTTTCTAACAGGGACACGGGCTTTTGTGCCTTGGGAGGAAAAATACATGAAGCTATAATTTCCAATTCAGCATCAACAACCTTTTTATATAAATAAGCATCCACTGCATAATTCAGATGAGAACACACAAAGCCTTTGTTGATTAGATTAACGTTCATTTCAAGGACATTGAGAAACACCTGTTCTCATGAAAACACTCCTGTTCAGAAAACCTTTCACACACACACCAGGTATTCACCGAACAGACGGTTGAATTATTTGGAGCTGTTGCCAGCTACCGTCAGGCACTGACTGCTGTCTGAGACGAGCACGCACCCAGGACAACAGAACATGGGCATCCCCGTCTCCCTGGGGTGCCTAATGCAGAAGGGAATTGATACCCTTTGGGTCTGAGAATAATAACTTGTCATTTTTTAGTTTTTCGTTTTAGTATAATATGTGTAACATAAAGTTTACCGTATTAACTGTTTTTTTCAGTGTGCAGTTTGGTAGTATTAATGCACACTCACAATGGTACAGTCTGTAGAACTTTCTCATCTTATGAAACGGAAACTCTGTCCCCAGTAAACAGCAACTCCCCATTTCCCTCCCCTTTGCCCCTGGCAGCCACCGTTCTACTTTCTATGGTTTTGAATACACTACCTGCCTCACTGTGTGAAATCACACAGCGTCGGTGGTTTGGTGACTGGCTTGTTTCACTCTGCGTGATGTCTTCAGGGCTCATCCGTGTTATAGCCTGTGTCAGAATGCCCTTCCTTTTTCATGGCTGAGTAGTGTTCCATGGTATGGATAATGCTACATTTTGTTCATCCGTTCATCTGTCTGTCTGCAGACCCTTGGGTTGCCTCTATTTTTTGGCTGTTGTGAAGGATGCCACCGTGAACGTGGGCGTGCCCTTGACTCCTAGAAGCTCTGTGTCCCACTTTCTGGGTGTATCACCACAGTGGTAAGGCTGGGTCATGTGGGGAATGGCAGCTTTTAACAAGCACTTATCCCTGCCTTCCAGACGCCTTCAGGAGGAAGACCAGCAGTTTAGAACCTCGTCTCTGCCGGCCATCCCCAATCCTTTTCCCGAACTCTGCGGCCCTGGGAGCCCCCCTGTGCTCACGCCAGGTTCTTTACCTCCGAGCCAGGCCGCTGCAAAGCAGGTGAGTTTGCCCCTGGCTGGAGTCCAGGCTTCAGGGATATGCCAGATTATTGGGATCTGCAGGGATGTGCCAGATGATTACTTGGGGAAGACGGGTGGGAAGTGTAGGGATCTTCTCTTGTTCTTTTCTTGTTGTCACGGTGCTTGCTGTCCTATGAGTCTGATTCAGTTTGGATGTTGTTCCCTCCAAATGTCACGTGGAATGGTAATCCCCAGTGCTGGAGGCGGCACCTGGTGGGAGGTGATCAGATCTTGGGGGTGGATCCTTCATGGCTTGGTGCCGTCCTCACAATAGTGAGTTCTCATGAGATCTAGTGGTTTAAAAGTGTGTGGCACCTCCAATTCCTCCCGCTCCCATCGTGCGAGACTCCGGTTCCTCCTTTGCCTTCCAGCATGACTGTAAGCACCTGAGTCCTCGCCAGAAGCTAAGCACATGTGCACACCATGCTTCCTGTGCAGGCTGCAGAACCATGAACCACTCCAACCTCTTTTCATTGTGCATTACCCAGTCTCCCGTACTTCTTTTTAGCAATGCAACAATCCGCCTAACAGAGGGGCTTTTACATTTATTGACCAAAACTCCGTGTACCTGTATATCTTAGAAAAAGTCTCGTAAAAAATGGCAAATAATAACAATGATCTGATGCTTAAAGATGAATCTTAGTTCTCTGAAAAAGTTTCACCACTGGTTCAATAATAGGTGTGAAAACTCGGGGCTCACCCGGCCACCTCAACTTCAGTACACGGGAGTTGAAGAGCTTCTGTGTTGTGGTCCTGATTTTGAATATGTTCTACTGAAAGCAGAAGAGTTTCCATTGGACCCACAGGGCAGCAGCCTCCTTTTCAAACTTACGGTGTCTATTTAAAGTAGATCCATGAAGTAGGTACGACACAGCCATTGTCCCTATGTGAGAAAACAGAGGCACAGAGAGTTTCAGTAACATGTCCAAGGTCAAACAGCCGGCATGTCAGCTTAGCGTAGAAACTGGCAGAGAAAGGTCCTCCACACCAGTTGACAGGGCCGCGAGCGGGATGGGCTGCAGGCTCTGGGGGAAGAGCCCTGAGGGGTGGAGGTGATCATTAGAACAACCGTCTGATGTTTATGGAGTGAGGGATTTCTGTGTGCCAGGCCTTGTTTGAGTGCTGGATACGTTTATTATTTTTGTTTATATGTTCATTTACTCCTCATGCCATCCTGTATAAATTAAGTACGCATGTCCCCACTGTCCCACCACTGGGGGAAGGGAGGCCCCTGTAACCCACCGAGCTGAGCGTGGCTGAGTGTCACACGGCCTCAGGACCAAAGCCTGTGATTGCAGCCACCGTACTGATTGGCTTCCCAGGACCTTGACTTTCCTTCTGCTAAATGCGCATTGTTTAGAAGTTATTTTGCCTTTCTACTTGAATCATCTCTTCTCCTTCCTTGCTTCCGCTTCCCTGCCTTTGCTGTTCTCAAGCAAGACAGGCCATCCATCCCTTTCTCTGCAAATCTGCCTGTCCTGTGCCATTGCAAGGTCTGCCCTCTTGAGAGATAGACCTTGCTTCCAGGACCCACTGGCTCCCAAGCGTGGCTCCCGTTCTGACCTCAGGACCCCGGAGCAGGCTGCATTATGGCACTATCAAAACTTAGAAGGTGAGGTAAGTGTCCCTCATCTGGGAGCCAGCGCTGTCTGGGCTTGTGCACTTTGTCACATGTCTAAAGTGCATCTGGGATGTCTACCTCGCCGGTGACCTTGGATCCAGACAAGCTGTCTGTGGGTTTTGTCACTGAGGTTGTTTACAGAGCTACCCATTCTAAAATAAGACCATGAAAATATTATCTGGCTCTCTCAGCCTTTGGCAAGAAAACTGGCCTCCACCCCCAGGGATTGTCCAAATTCGTAAGCAGAACAAGGAAACGGGGGAATTTTGCCTGCTGGTGTTTTTCTTGGGATCGGAGCTAGTTCCCCATAAGAACGTGGCGTTGGTGTCTGTGTCACCTGTGTCCTCAAGCCCACGAAAGTGAGCAGGAAGGATGTTTCTCACTCAGAACTACTTATAGAAAGTCCTTGTTCTCTGTTCTTTTTTTTTTTTTTTTTTTTTTCCGACTTGCTTGAAGGGACCTTTCTTTACCTGTGCTTGATGCTGATTTCTGATCTCATGAAAGTGCATTTTCCCAGTGGAATGGGTACAAAGTGCAGGACCCCAGCCACCTCCCAGGGCCTTGGGTCTAGGGTCATGGTGGGGGGTGGTGCTGGGCAGAGAGCTTTGGCCCCATTCCTCACCCCTTGCTTGAGGAAAAGAGAAATCTGATGTTCCTCTTCTCTTCATTCAAGTCAGAGGAAGTAACGCTGAGGCCAGGGTCCAGTCAAGGGTTCTGAAATAGTAGAAAAATAGACAAAGTGGACCTGATACATAACGTGGCTTGACTCACGGGAAAGAACTCAGGTAACACAGAAAAAGAAGAAAGCATAATGAAATCTCTGGAAGGTAACGGGATGGTGAGGCGATTGGAAACTTCCTCATTCGTGTCGTTATGTTCGCTATTAAATAGCAGATTCATGAAGGAGGAGGAAACCGAAGAGGAAAAAATAGATAATTTAAACATCCATGCGAAAGGAAAAATCATTCTTGCCCAAGCTTTGTAGCCAGAGCCTTCTGAAGTTCTCACACGGGCATTCGTATGTTTCTTCTGCCTCTTGTCTTTTCAAGAGACTCCTTGGTCGCTCCTTAATGCAATAGGAGAGATCACATGCTGGTGTCCAGAGACCCCAGGTCTGAGGGCAAGTGACTGCCATGACGTCAACCTGGAGTTTCTCACAGCATGGTGACCACCCCCTCCCCCGTCTTGCATGCTGGGACGGAGCAGGAGAGCGGCAGTGGTCTCACTGCAGCGTCCGTGGACCCCATGGGCCTCTGTTCCACCTGCAGCTCTGGTGTGGATCCTTTCTAGACATGTAACATATAGGGCTCAGTGCCCTGCAAAGGCTGTGGGCCACGGGACTTCATGAAAGGAAGGAGGGGCGAGAAAATTCTGCACGGGAGCAGTCATGGCTAGAGAAGATCCCTCAGCCTCCCATTCAGCAGCACATGAGATTCCTCCCATGCCAACTCCCTCTGAGCTTGCTCCCTTCGCGCACCCTGAGCCCCTACAACGGCCAGGTCTTTTGCCAGACCCTGAGACTGAGAGGTTGGCCAAAGTGGCCTTTGCTCTCGAGAGCTTAGCATGATGGTGACAGAGTAAAGAGCTACTGAGAGGAAGGAGGATGGAGTAGTTGGTGGTCTAGGATGTGACAGGCATGTGCCAAAAGAAAGCAGCGATGATTCTCTAGAAGGACAAGGGAGGTCTTCCCCAGCTACCTTGCATCCTCTCCCCGGAGATCCCAGAGCATGCAGCAGCCCCGGGCAGGCTCACCAAGTTCTTCCACAATGCCTGCACCCTGGCTTTGTGACCTTGCCTTGCCAGATTCTTCCTGAGTGCTGTGCCGAGTTTGCTAAGGGTACCTCCAGGGCTTTCCTGAGTCATCTTGGTTGGTGGGAATAGCTGAGTTTCAGACAAACACCTGTGGTCCTCCAGCTGGGAAAGACTTACACCACGCAAAGGGGCTACTGCTGATTGGAGATCCACGTGCCGGGACATGAATGAGGACGTCTCCATCGCCTCGTTATCCCATTACCTGCCATCCCACAGTCCACGCCTTCCTTCCTGCCTGGCCATCCTTCACCTATGCTGGATTGGAGCTCCTCACCCCGCCCAGGCTCTGCTTCCTGTCCTGGGTCTGGGGTCCTGCCCAGGTGCTTCTGCAGGAGTAATGCAGTGCCGATGTCGCCTCCCTGGTCCTGCTGAGGTTTGTTGCTACCCCCAGTTAGGGTGGCAACCCCCCCCACACACACACACAGCTGCTCAACATTTGGCCAGGGGGAGTCCTGAGAGCAGTTTGCCAGCGTGCTGTGAGTTCCACACACAGGCGGGTCAGACCCTCCATGGAAGCGTGGGCTTCTGGAGCCGGCAAACCCAGGCTTCTCCACACGCCGCTGCCAGTGACCTCTGCCAGTGGTCCACAGGGCCTCGCTGGTGTTTGGGTGCCCATGCATAGTGTGAGATGTTTTGGAGTTGTCTGTCCAACTTGGGCTTTCTGTTTTATTTTTTTGTTGTTGATAAATTTTAAAACAGCAGCATTTTGGCATGTTTGTTAATATTTAAGCCAGAGTCTACTGGTCTTGCGTTTAGCTAAGGTTGTATTCTGTGGCTTCACCAACAAAGTGAGAGCACACAGACCCATTCTCTCGTGGAAGGCAAAAGCTGACGTTAGAGCAGACATCCTCCTCTGCCCCGGGAGAGTGTGGAGAGGAACCGTCAAGTGTGGTTTTCTATAGGGTCCGTTAGAGGTGACAGCAGTCCTTCTTGTCACCGGTGAGTGACTCTTGTCAGAAGGTGCAGCTTCTGTGGAAATCATTCCATCATTTACTAAATAGCAATTAATTTAATCAGTGATTTGATATGTTTAATAATATCTCCTCATTGACTTACCAAAAATACAAATACCAAAGAATTTCTTGCTGAGTGCTTAATATCTTTCCTTCAGAAGGCGGGGAAATTAAATTAGGCAGTATTCAGGAAACTGGGTATTTGTGGTCAGAATCAATGGGGCATTTTTAACTGCTTTGTGACTCATTTGGAAAGACAGGCTGTGTGATTGTTATAGCAAAGACTTGTGATCCCCGGTCGGAGAGGCTGGGCCCACGGCCTAGTTGTTGCCACTGGGCGCCTGTGGTGAGGCTCCCTTTGCTCTCAGTGCCCTGGTGGACGCAGGCCATGGTGGTCCTCCTTTGTGTCCGACCCACAGGGGCCTTCAGAGTTGAGGAAGCGCCATGCATTGTGCCTGGAGCTGGCCTCGGGTGTCGGGGGGGAAGAGTATCACAGGAGGAGATACTCCAAGACCCTGGGGCTTGGACCAAGTACCAGACAATCCCAGATAAATAGCAGAGCTGCCCCCCAACCCCCAATACACACACACTGCA